AAATCTGTATCGCTTTTCACGCGGTTTGTTATTATCTCTTCTTTATTAGATTAGAAACGTCAAAATGTAAAAATGACGTTGATGTTCGACTGCAAAATTATTATTTAAACAATATCGTATTTCGGATAATTATTTTTCCGTGCAACAATACTCAGTTTACATAACAACATATTTGCGAACACTGCTGTATGATAATACCGAAAATAGGTGTGGCCACGATTCATTTTGTTTGTCAAAACAACTATAACGCAATTTTTTTAATTATTATAAAGTGTCATATTATTTTCGTAGCTTTGAGAATAGGCAAAAGTAGGTTCTCCGTTTTCGTTTATTTGTCATTTGTCGTCTGTTGATGATTTCATGAGATTTGTGCTCTCGAAAGCTGCTATACACATTGGAAATTTTAAATATATTTTAAGAATATCGTGTAGTGGGGTAAAACGCTATTTTGGTAAATTTTGGTGAATTTGTCTGTTTATCCTTACGAAACACGTGATCAGTTCAGGTCAGATCAGATCAAGTAAGGTCAGGACATATTGTTGAAAGAAAACTATAAATGTAAAGAAAAAAAAGCCAAAAATTAAGCCCCACCCACCCGCCCCAGTCTCAAATGTGATGAATTTTTCATTCGTTGTCAGACCTAGGGGTGGAGCTTAATTGTAAAATCGATGTTTCCAGACAAAAACGTACCATTTTAAACGTTTTAAATATCTTGTCGTGAAAAGATTATTACGTATATACAGAAAAAATTTAAAATTTAAGCTCCGCCTATCCACCGCCATTTCATGATGTTATTCGCTGTAAGCCTAGGGGCAGAGTTTAATTGCAAAATCCTTATTTCCCTTGAAAAACTTATGGTGTTGTTGAAAGAGACCTGTATATATTAAAAAAAAAGGAAAGAGAAAGATTCCTCCACCCGCCCTGATCTCAATTGTCAAGTATTATACTGACTATGTCAACAACAATAAAAGATGTTTCGCATGGTAATTTCTTGTACAGAGACATACATTTTGCAACTAAGCTCCGCCTCCGGGGTAACAGCGAATAAAAAAATCACCACAATTGAGAGGGGGTGGGTGGACGGGGCTTCCATTTTACTTTTTTCTAAATATACCTAGTCTTCTTTTTTCAACAAGAAACTTCAAACATGTTTAAAACTGGAAATATGGATTTTGCAATTACGCTCCGCCCCTCTGTCTGACAACGAATAGAAAATTCATCACGATTGAGATCGAGATGGATCGGTGGGGCTTATCTTTTTTTTTCCTTAATATATATAGTTTTCTCTGAGCAACGCGATCACTGAAGAACAGGTTTCATATGGTAATTCTTGTAGAAAAATACGGATTTTGCAATTAAGCCTTGCCCCTTCTGCCTCATGACAAACAAAGAAAAATCGTCACAAACGAGATAGGGTGGGTGGGCGGGGCTTATTTTTGTTTTTTTTTTCTTCTTAACACACATAGTTTTCTCTTCACAACAGAAAACTGAAAACATGTTTAAAATGGTAAATTTTATCCGCCACACGTCTCTCCTAAATTACCGTTTTAAACATTTATTCAGCTTCTTGTGAAAAGAACACGACGTATATGTATTAAGAAAAAAAAAGGTAAAATACAAACCCCGCCCACCCACCCTCCTCTCAATTGTGATAACATTTTTATTCGTTATCAGCCGAAGGGCGGAGCTTAATTGCAAAATGTTTACTATCTACAAAAACTACCATGTTTTTAAGTAACATGTTGTTGAATGGAAACTAAATATGTTACGAAAAAAAAAGTCAAAAAGTAAGCCCCACCCACCCACCCCAATCCCGATTGTGATGAATTTTTCATTCGGATCAAAAATCCTAGTCTTCATTCCAAAAATTACAATATATAATTAAGCTCCACCCATCCACCACATTCTCAAATGTAATGAATTTTTCATTCGTTGTCAGACCTAGGGGCGGAGCTAAATTGTTAAATCTATGTTTCCCAACAAACATGTACCATTTTAAACGTTTTCAATATCTTGTCGTGAAAAGATTATTACGTATATTAAAAAAAAATTGAAAATTCAAGCCCCGCTTGCCCACCGCCATCTCAATTGTGATAACGTTTTTATTCGTTGTGAGCCGAAGGGCGAAGCTTAACTGCAAAATGTTTATTCTCTACAAGAGACACCATTTTTTTAAGTAACACGTTGAAAGGAAACTATATATGTTAAGAAAAAAAAGCAAAAAAAAGTCTCGATTGTGATGAATGTTTCATTGGTTGTAAGACCGAGGGGCGGAGCTTAATTCTAAAATCGATGTTTTCCGACAAAAATTTACCATTTTAAACATGTTTTAAATATCTTGTCTTGAAAAGAATATTGCGTATATTCAGAAAAGAATATCAGTTGTAATTACTTAGATTTGGACTTGCATATTACAAAAATTTTTTGTGTTTATGATCCCGGAGCAAGATTTTATAAATATTCAGTTTGAAATCAATTTTTGTTTTAATCCAAAAAATCGCAATATTTCAAGCGATGGAAAAATGGTAGAAGTTATCGAAGAAACGAGGCAGAAACGAACTTCTGTACGTCGAAATCTAAGAAAATGTCTTTAGTGTCTTTAGTTAAATTTCGAAAATGGTCTAAATTGGCCAAAATTTTCATAAGAGGGAGCTATTGAAAAATTTTTGAAAAAAGTGGCCAAAAAAATCTAAGATATAGATTTCGACGTGCTGAAGTCGCAATATTTCCTTGGACGATGCTGAAAAATTGGTAGAATTGTGGAAGAAATCAGCTCGAAACAACCTTCTGTATGTCGGTCAATATTGTAAGAAAATATCCTTAAATTCAGTTTCAAAAATTGTCCAAAATTTTCGTATGTTGAATAATTTTGCTTTTGAAAGCGCCAAAAAGTTGCCATTGTGACCTTCGCGTTCTATGATCGAAAAAAATGTCGTCTAGTAGTCCATGAAACTTTTTTTAAATTAATCATGCTGGCATTGCTGAACAAGGAACACGCTGCTGACACCATTATTTTAAAAATATATTTCATGGCCTACTATAAAATGTTGAAACTTCCCCGTATATACCGTACTTTTTTTGGTATTGAGCTTGATTTCTAAGTTTTTTTGAACACTCCACTTTATTAATAAAATATTTAAACAATGGTCTAAGATTATTTAGACGAAACCTGGCGCCATCAAATTTAAGCCGTTAAATCTGATCCATCACAGCTCTTGCTAACTTTTAAAAAACAGACAATTTTTTCAGTAATTTCTCGACTATCAAACTTCTCCACAAGAAATTTCCACAACTCTGAAAGTGCTAAATCGAATTAGTCCATGTAACATGACCCGAACTCAACAAACAAAAATGAAATATCAATAACCGTCAAATACAAGAAGCACTAACTAATGAGTTTTGTTCATACAACTTCAAGTGTGTCTGAAAACTTCGCCTAAAACCGACGCCTAATCAGAGTCCTTAAAATGTTAAAAACTTTTCCAGAAGTTTTTTCAACATGAACAGCTACTTTCGTTTTAGGGAATGAAATTATTGATCAAAAATATTACTAACATTACACTCTGCGATCGTCGACTTGACATTGCGGTAATTAGGGCAAGTCCGCCAAAATTGCCAGATATCTGTCATATACATTTTGTGACAATTATTAAAAACTTATGGATATTATTTCCCTTCGTTCTACTCTAGAGGAAAAATTTTGAAACACTAGCGTCAGCAAGCGTCATCTTGCAGTCGTTAAAGTTCCTGTCGACCTTCTGGGTTTCCTAATATCGGAAAAAACTCGTTAAAGACGTTTTGTTTCCGGCTGACGTTTCACTTTTCTAAAAACTCGGTTTTAATTACAGACAACGCTTTCATTTTTCTGAACCTTCCAGCGAAATAAATCGCCAAGCATACATAAAAAAATTTAATTTAATTATTCTCGATATTCAGTGCAACTCGTCTGAGTCCGACTGACGTGCCGCAATCAGTTTCCTTTCAGCGGAAAAATAAAAAATGTTCCCTCACACAAACACTCAATATTGAAAGAAAATAGGAATTTTTAAACATCAGTCAATAAAGGGAATGTTTCCACCCGTTTGCGCATAACACAGCTAAGAACCCCACTTCAGCCTTTGATTTGTAGTCTGATATATCAGGATTATACGTAGAGACAGTGAAAAGCCTAAATACGTGAAGATTTCCCTCTTGAAAAACGTTTTAAGTCCTCCAGGACTGAATGAAGCTTTTGTATTTCCCTGAAAACTGTTCGCGTGAGGGATTAAAGATTTTATTCTTTTTTGCATTCGATTCTCTGTTCCGGTATTCAGCGCTCCATTTTCCTGCTTATTTATATAAAAGAAGACGGATTAAAATTTTCAAAGTCCGTAATAAACAGATTTCGTTCGTTTTTCGCGTAATAAACGGGAAAACTCTTGAAATCAATTCAAATTTTGGGTGCTGTAAACTTCAGCTAAATTGTCGCTCCAGAAAAACCACGAAGCATCTTCGTCAGTGCATTTAGCAAACCTGTTGAAATCTCCTCCACAATTTTGCTTCATTGTAATATATTCTTTGTCAGAGGAGTTAAAAATATCCGACTCGAAATGTCTTCGGGCATTTACATTTCATGAATGAATAATCGGGTTAAAGCATATTCCGGGAAAACTCCGGGGGCTCCGGCGTGACCTATCGTAATTGGAAAAAATTACACGTGTGCAGTAAACGGGTGATAAGAGAAAAATAATGGAATCGCTTAAATCTGGTTGATCAAAGGGGGGAAATGGAAGTTTAACGGGCACTTAAATCAAAATTGCCGAAATCATTCACTGGCAAAAATAGCTTACGAGGAAATTAGTGTCGCGAGCGCTCTCTGCCGACCGAATCGACTACTAATTAAGGACCGGAACCAAACGAAATTATCTCACAGATTTACTAGCGATTTGGACGTCAAATGGGGGCGGGTATTGGGTCCCTTTAAATTAGCACCATTTTTCCTTAACTCAAGCTTACATGGTTCGAGAGGGTTTCCATGATGGTTATACTGCTCAACTGCGTCACGTTGGGGATGTATCAACCCTGTATGGACGACAAGTGTGAAACGAATAGGTGTAAGATACTTCAAGTAAGTATAATTTTTTATCTAAAAAGTACTAAGTATATATCTTTGTGTACCTTTTAAAAGGAGCACCCTGTATATCTCTATGGTAATATTGAATGTGCGAATTCTCAATGGAAAAATTTCGCTGCAAAGATTCATTTTGTTTGACCAAAAAGTTTTACGATAACAACAATCGCATTGTTGCCAACTCAATTATTTAACGAGCAGCGAGGTCCTTGACATGAATCCACTCCACACAGAGACGGCTCCTATAACTAAAGCATGAAGCAAAACAGAATTTCCTGAAATTTTTATTCAGCAATAACGTTTTTATCGTACACTCCTCACCAATAAACTTCCCAATTCCAGGACAAAATTGTTCCTGATACAACCACCCCAACTCGACTTCCCTCCTGCGATAATTACGGTAATCAACTTTTACTATTTTTATCACGACAGCTATCACAATAAAACAATGCTTCTTCCTTTATTCCAACAGCATACACCCGTATGTCCGGGGCACTCCGTCGAACTACGTCACATTTACCAGCAGAAAGTTGTCGTCGCCGTTCCATTAAACTCGTACGGCTCCATCGCGATAAAAAACCAAAACGGCGCTGTAAACTAAGAAAGCATACAAGCAATTTCGTCGGCAAAACATTTTCATTGAATCACCATTCTCGTTGTAAACCTGGATTCTAGGTCGAGCGGAAAAATAATCTGCTTATTTAAGTTCCGAAACAGCAAAGTTGTTGAATTTGTGACGATATCGATCTCTGTTCCCAAGAGATGTAAAATTTCAACACAAACTTGTTATCGCTTCACAACTGAAGGCTTTACTTAGGTCCAGGTTTTTATGCAAATATGGCGGCAAAAAACTTGTTCATTCAGATCGCTTTGTCATTAACTGGAGACTCGTCGCTGGAGCGTTTTACGGGGTTCGCTGGTCGGATAACGATTTGTGTTTCAAGACAGGATGTCAATAAAGCCGTTCGTTAAATTGGAATGATTATTGATAGGAAGACTTGGCTTAAAATAGCAGAGACGGTTAATTATGAAGACAAATTTTACTGATTTCGTGGAGTTTGCCCCCATTGTTTACGAGATACCGAAGTTGGAACAGTTAATCAAGTATTATTCGCTAGGGAGATAAGATTCAAGGAATTTTTCCTAGAGAGTTTTTCGTACATATACCTCTTTGTTAACCAAATTAGAAATTCAAAAGTTAATTTATTAGCAATGTCGCTGAAAAACCTGAATAGATGAAATACTGAGTGAACAATATATCATCAATTCATTACAAAAAAGCTGAACTTCCCTCGTCTCTGAAGCTTAAATTATATCAAGTATAAATGGGTCTGGAAGAAAAAAAACGTGGTCCTTGATACTATAAAGATTTTGTTCTACGTTTACAAAGAAAACTGGACCAAGGCCTTTATGAATGCCATGCTCAAAACTAAAACTACAGATATATTGAAAACTAACGCTTTTATTGCAACTGTGACTTTGACACAAAAACGAGCCTAGAAAAGTTTTATACATATAAATCTGACGAAGTTGCTAAGTTTAAAGATAATAATTTTATTACCCATAAATTTCTAAAAACATATCAATTTTGGTGTCGAATCCCAGTGAAGTTTTATGTTTTGCTTTGGGTTTTACCTTACAGACTTAGCGAAGTCGGAGATTGACGTAGCATCACAAACATAAAAATTATTTTAAAGTAGTTTTTGAAGTCATGAGTTTTACCAGAAAGGCTATATCATTATTTTTAATATTTTAAATCCGAAATGAAAAATGAATTAAGGATATTCAATTCGTTTCTGCTAGGTACTGTACCTAAAGTAGAAAAATAAATAAATAAAAAACCGTTTGTACTCCAAAAACCTTTCCACCATAGGTTTGCCAACACACAGTGTGTTCTGATATGATGCTCTACATTCTTTACCTTTTTCCATTTTCTCTAGTTAATTTTCTTCCCTTTGATAACACCATATTTTACTTCATTTGAAAATGTTGCCATATTTTCAGAAATTCCATTGTTCGTGACAGTTTTTCTCTTTTTTTACAACTTACTCATGCATTTAAACTTATTCTCCCGGACTACTATAAGTTTTGTCCGCAATTCATACTTGTTTTTCTATCATTTTCCTCTGTCTCTTTCACCTTCCTCCTTACTCTGGTTTCTGCTTTCCCCCTTGAGCTCTCAATCTCTGTCTCTTTGTTCTTCCACTCCGTTTAGTTTACCCATCTCCTCTGCTCCCACCGTCCTCCTTTAGTCTATCCTTCACGTCCTTGCTCTTTCCATCGCTCTCCCTTTCCCTTTTCTCTCTCACTGTTTCCCTCTTCCCTTTCTTTCTCACTTTCCGTCTTTCCGTCTCTCTCTGTGTGTCTCTCGTATTTTCTTCCTTTATCTCCTATTCCATAGGAGATGTATTCCATTTCCTGAGTCATTTTTTACTCATAATATTGCGAATATCCTGAAACAGAGCATGTAAATCAAGTTAGAAGTTTATTTTCTAATCGGTTCACTATAATAATGCCTCTCCTCTCATCCTCTCCATGAACTGTCTCCCTCTCCTCTCTCTGCCTCCTTCTTCTCTCTTCCGCGTCCATTGCTCTCTCCGTCGTCCTCTGCTCTCTCCCATTCCTTCTTTATTCTCTAATTCTCACTCTCTCCCTTTCACCTCGCTTCATTAATTATTATTACTCATAATAATAATGCAAATACCCTGAGACAGAAAGAAATATACTATTATACACAGATTAAAAGTTTATTTTCTATTCTATTCACTATAATGATGTATCTTCTTGTTCCTTCTCGCTCTTTTTTTTCTCTTACATTCTTTCTCTCGCTCTCTGTCCCTAGATCCTTCCCTTCCTTTCTCTCTGTTTCTCATTTTCTCTCCCTCTCCTCCTTTTTTATCTCTTTTCTACAACTCTACAACCTCCTATTCCACTTCCTTAATTATTACTTACAATAGTGCGAATATTCTAAGACAGAAGCATATAAGAAAAGTAATAAATTTATTTTCTACTTCGCTACTCTATCTATAGCCCTCTTTCGCGCTCCTCCATCTCTCTCACTGTTTCTCTCTCCCCTTTCTTTCTCCGTTCCTTCCTTATTCTCTCTCTCTCTCTCTCTTTCCGTACTCTTTCTCTCCCCCTCCTCACTTTTTCTCTCGCTTTCCAATCCGCCCTTGTCTTTTCCTCTCTCCCTCGTTTTTTCTCTCTCCCCCGTTTTTTCTATATATCTGTGCTCTCCCTCTACGGCTATTCTTTCCATCTCCCTTTGCTCTCATCTTCCCCATCTACTGCCTCCCACTCCTTTCTCTCTTTCCTCCTCAGCTCTTCCACTTCTCCCTCTCTGCTTTCTGCTTTTCCATCTTCGATATCTCGCTCTTTCCTTGTCCCCTATCCTTCTCCGTTCCTTCTTCTTTCTGCCTGTATCACTCCCATCTCTCTTTCTCTTTCTTTCTCCCCCTCCTTGTTTCTCCTGAATTCCCCCGTTCTTTCTCTCTCTCTCCCTCTCACTAAAATAAAGTCTACTCTTTCTCTCTCTATCTATCCATCTGCCACTCCTAACAGTCTCTTCATCTCCTGCGTCTCTCTCCTCTTTTCCTCTTTCTCTACTCTCTTCCACTTCCGCTGCTCTCTCCATCGCCCTCTGCTCTTCTCTCTCGCTTTCTCTCTTCTCTTGCCTTTTTCTTTCTTTCTCTCTTTTGTTCTCCCCCTTTCTCTTACCTCTAATTTTCTCTCCCTCTCCCGCTTTTTTACCTCCTGTCTACAACCATAGAATCTCCTATTCCACTTCCTCAGTTGTTACTCACAATAATGATCTATATCTTGAAACAGAGGCTCAGTTAAGAAAGGTTAGAAGTTTATTTTCTATTCTATTCAATATGATGACATATTTTCCCCCTCTCCTTTCTCCATCTCCATCTGTTTCTGGTTTTTTCCTTTTCCGCGGCCCTTTCTATAGCCCCCTCGCTTTGTCTTCTCTCTCTCACTGCTTTATTCTCTGGCTGTTTTCCTCCCCCTTTTCTTCCTTAGTCTCTCTCTCTCTCTCTCTTTCCATACTCGTAATCTCCCTCTCCTCACTCTTTCTCCATCTGGATAAACCGACTCTCACTTCCGTTCCTGTATCCATCGGTTTCTGCTCTCTCCCTTCCCCTCTTCTATGTCTCGCTGTTTCCCTCTCCCCTTTCCTTCTCCCTTCCTCCATTCCTCTGTCTCTAGCGCTTCCATGTCTCTTTCTCTTCCTTTGTCCTTCTCTCTGTTCCTCCTGCATTCCCCTCGTTTCCTCTCCCTCTCTCTTTTACCTCCTTCCTACAACTCGATAACCCCTTTACTTTCTATTCCCTATAATAAATTCTACACTTTCTCTCTCTATCTATTCATCTCCCTCTCCTACCAGTCTCTTCATCTACTGCTTCCCTCTCCTCTCTTGGTCTCTTTCTGCGCTCTTCGGCTCCGGAGCCCTTTCCATCGCCCTCTGCTCTCCTCTCCTGGTTTCTCTCTTGTCTTGCCTTCTCTCTTTCTTTCGTTCTCCCTCTTTCCCTTATCTCTAGTTTTCTCTCCCTCTCCCGCTTTTTTACCTCCTCTCTAGAACCCTAGAATCTCCTACTCCACTTTCTTAATTATTACTCACAATAGTGCGAATATCTTGAAACAAAGGCTCACTTACGAAAGGTTAAAAATGTATTTTCTAGTATATTCAATATGATGTCTTCTAGTCTCCCTCTCTTTTCTCTATTTTCCTCCGCTTTCTTCAATTTCCGCGGCTCCTTCCAGAGGCCCTCCTGCTTTCTCTTCTCTCTCTCACTGCTTTTTTCGTTCACTGTTTTCCCCTCTTCTTTTTTCCTTACTCTCTCTCTTTCCGTACTCGTAATCTCCCCCTCCTCACTCCTTCTCCATCTTTCCGATTCTCCTCTCTCCCTCGTATTTTTCTCTCTCCCTGTATCTGCTCGCCTTCTGCGTATATTTTATTTATCTCCCTCTGCTCTCACCCTCCCCATACATTGCCTGCCACACCTCTCTCTCTTTCCTCCGCAGCTCTCTTCTACTTCCGTTCTTATCTTCATCGCTCTCTGCTCTCTCTTTCTTTTTCTTTCTCCTTGTCTCTGTTCCTCCTGCTTTCCGTCCGTTCTCTCTGTCTGTCGTTTTCTCTCCCTCTCTCTTTTATCTTCTTTCTACAACTGTATAGCCTCCTATTCCAATTCCGTAATTATTATTAGTCATAATCGTGTGAATATTGTAAGACCTAGAAGTTTATTTTATTTTCTATTCACTATAATTAAGTTTACTTTTTCTTTACCTATATTCTATCCATCTCCCTCTCCTACCAGTCTCTTCATGTACTGCCGCCCTCTCCTCCCTCCGTCTCTCTCTGCCCCTCTATCGACCTCTCCCTTCCTCTCCCACTTGCTCCCTTCTCTTTCATCTTTCATCTCCTCTTTTCTGTCCCTCGATTCTCCGCCCGCTTCTCTCTGTCTCTAGTTTTCTCTCCCTCTCCCGCTTTTTTATCTCCTCTCTACAACCTCTCTAGAACCTTCTATCCCACTTCCTTAATTATTGTTCACAATACTGCAAATATCTTGAAACAAACGCTCACGTAAGAAAGGTTAAAAGTTTATTTTCTATTCTATTCAATGTGATGATCTCTGCTTTTCTTCTTTCTATATACTATCCATCTCTCTCTCCCCCCACCCTTTCCACTTGCAATCTCCCTCTCCTTCTCCGTCTCCCTGTATTTTTTTCCGCTTCCCTCCTTCGTCACTCTCTATTTCTATCTCTTACTCTCCCTAAGAGTCTATTCTGTCCATCTGCATCTGCTCTTACTTTCGCCATCTACTGCCTTCCACTCCTCCTTCTCTACCTCTCTTTGCTCTTTCATCGCCCTCTGTTCTCTTCCTCTCCTTTTTCTCTCTCTCTCACTGTGTCCTCTCTCCATTCTTTCTTTCTTCTTCCCTTTCTATTTCGCTCCCATTTCTCTCTCCCTACCGCTCCCCTCTCTCTCTCTCTCCGCTCTTTCACCCCTTCTCTTTACCCCCTCCTTTCCCATCGTTCTCTCTCTCTTCCTCATTTTCTACCTCCTCTCTACAACCCCCTATTCCACTTTCATAAATTATCAAGTCAAAGTTTAATAATATAAGATATACAAGATTAACAAAAAAAAAATTCGCAACATTTCATGTTTTTTTGAAAAATTCTTACAGTAATTTTTTATAAAAATAACCACTTCCAGACTTTCTTGTAGCTCACAAAAATTTTGTTCTAAGGTAGAGTATCTACGATTTCTCGACTAATGAAAAAATTTTTTATTCAATTCTGATGCCTTAAAGTCGACTGTGGATTAGTTTTAAATATACAGGTATCCTTTTAAAAGTTACACAACACAGTTATTCTTTTAAATGTAACCTTTCATAATCTTTTTCGAATTTAGATTTCTTGTAAAAAAAAGAAAATCAGTAGTTTTCAACATATACGGTTTTTATATAAAAAACTTGTCAACATATAAAAAATTTCACCTTCGCATATTTAAATTAGATAAAGTTTTTCGCAAAATTTTTAGTTATCTTGGCCGAACAGACGTACAAAGAACTGAACATTGTTTTAAGTTATTTAAAATTATAGTGTTTAAAGTTAAAGTTGTCTCTGAATGAGCTTTTTTGATACCAAACTTTTAGTACAAACCTCAAAAAGTTGGTATCAGAAGAAAGCTTACATACAAGTAAGCTCGAAAATTTAAGAAAATACAAAAAACTAAGAGTTTGCAGATATAATCACCCTGTGTAAATAAAATCAAGTCGTGTTCAATTTTTCACAACGTGACAAAAATGTCCACAAAATTCTAGACTTCCATTTTTAAAAATGGCGGAGTTGTGATTCTTAAAATGCCTTTTTGAAAACGGTGCATCAAAGAACGCTTGTCTCTGATGCCATTGTTCGACTTTTTTTTATCAAAATTCCATACAACAGTACAGATTTTGTTTGTTACAGTTAAACAGAACACTCTATATACTTCAAAATAATTTTAAATCGTAGTAGAACTAAATTGCCTCTTCTTGATTTGCAATAGACTCTAATTAAAAGTTTGTGTAATTATTGTTCTTTGAAAAGAGTACACATTTCTACGATAATTAGTGAAGTTTTGCGTCAAACATACGAAAGTCTTCATTTACCATGTTCTTAATAATTTACTAGTTAATCATAACATTAATAATTAATTTCGGCCACGGGCTACTTTACAGAACGAACAGTTCTTCCACCCGCAAACAAAACATAAAAGTAAACTTTGTAGTTTTTAAATTGAAGAAAAGTTCTTATTCAGTTACAAAAACACTATGGATAATTGTTTATTCATAATTTTTGTTTCAGCTTTTCGACGATTTTATTTTCGCATTTTTTTCGTTGGAAATGACCATCAAAATGGTAGCGATGGGAGTGTGTGGTCGTGGTACATATCTAGCCGATTCCTGGAACCGCCTCGATTTGTTCATAGTATTAACCGGAGCGATGGAATATATCCTTAACGTAGACAACTTGAACCTTTCCGCTGTCAGGACGATAAGGGTCCTGCGACCCTTGCGAGCAATCAACAGGATACCAAGTAAGTATGAAGGAAAACGTACGCGTCCGAGTTAATAACCTAAGCTTCATAAATGTGGCAATAAATCAATAACACGAAAAATTGCCCGAGTAAAAAATTTACTCATATAATTTTTTATAAAGAAAACCTCTAAACGCAGTGTTGGTTGCATACTTACACTGTTATCGCTATCGATACAAAGTCGGTGTTTTACACCGACTCAGTCCCTCTTAGCACTTAAGCCTTTTGAATCCGCGCTTCTCAGAGCAATTAATTTCCAGCACTGATACTTGTATTATTTATAATCAAGGGTCCAAAGTTTCAAGTTGAATTATCGGCAAAGTCAAACAGAGCCCCTAGTTTGCATACGCCGCCCCTCAGAGGTTAGCTATAACGCCTCCGTCAACACATTCACTTTCTCATCGTCGCCTCTCGTATTGTTAGCCCAAAGTTTGTGTTTCGTAAATTTATATACTTACAGAAGTTGATGACATCGCGCTTACCAACGTGTTTTATAAGCCGTGCCAAAGACAGAACCTTCCCAATTACTTATACAGGTACTCGGGCTGGCTGTTTTGAATAAGTCCTAAAGCTACACAATTTGTAAAGCCATCCCACTTGTGTAAAATTTATCGGCGAGTTTCAGCAATGTGAGATTTCGAACAAACATTTGTTGGAGTTATCGACCATGGGGGCAGGTAATTAGGGCTTCTCGCAAAATGATTTTTTGCTACGAGCTAATAAAGGCTGTCCGATGGAGAAATTTTAATAAAGAATAATTGCGCGGTTCTAGAGGGCTGTAGTGCTATTAAGTGAAGTTTATTAATTGGCGGGCTTAAACAGTTTCGAAGAATTAAGAAAATATCGCGTTTTACGTAGCTATTTTACTCTAATCCTCATTAAGTTTGACGTTTCAAGGGAAAATTTGGAGTACAAGTTGCAAAAAATAAAACACAAAACATTCAAAAGTATAGTTTGAGAGAAAATAAAATAGCTTTACCGTTAAATAGTGTGGGTCCTGGTCCACTTTCACATCATGGTTGGGATTTTGTTTCTACCGATACGATACGAAGCGATAACGAAGCGATAAATGACAAGGACGAAAATATAAACTTCTGTTGATGTCAAAGTACTCTAGAAGCCTCATGAGAGTTTTCGGCCACTTTGACGGCGAGAGAATGTAGTGCTGATTCTGGTTCAGGTCAACCGGGGTCAAAGTGAGTCAGAACCCACACTACATAACTACTAGCTCTAATTCGGTTTTATTTACAATTACACCACACACGAAAATTATTCCATCTTTAAAATATCATACTATCAAGATCAAAGACAAAAGTTGTAAACAAAATATAACAATGAAAGTATTATTCAACAAGAGAGGAAAACCTATAATTAAATTATAAACAACAAAGTAGGTTGTTTTTCTTAAGTATTAATGAACATGTAAATTTTTCTAAATTATTTTCGTCCGTCTGTCGTTTCTATCCGGTTCGATTTTTATTACACAGATAATCTCCGAAACTACTGGATCGATTAAAGTGAAATTTTATATGTATGTTACGAATATCCTGTATATGATAAACCGCTTATCAAAATTTGTCTAATCAACCACTCAATTTTTTTCTAGTGAATGCCATTTAAATAAAAAAAAATAGCATCCTCCTATACTTGTGATGTCTGAATCTGCCTTGATTTTTTAACCTAGGCATCTAGATTTTCGCAAAAAATTCAAACTGCATCATCACATTTTATACAAGTGTAAGAACACTGACGTATAGTGAACTCTTTGGCCGTGTCGTAAAAATTTAGAATTATTAACTCAAAATCACGGCTTCTATGGAGTCATGGAGTTATACTTTTTTTACACTGTGACTAGTATTATCTGTATTTTTTATGACCGAAGTACGAAGAATAGAGTACTAAGAAATAGGTCTACCATTTCCGTCTATCTGTCTGTCTGTCCGTCTGTCTGCCTTCCTGATTTTGATTAAACAGATAATCTCCGAAAGTACTGGGCCGATTGTTGTCAAATTTTGTATTTATATTAGAAATAATGTGATGACGTCACTACAAAACTGTACATAGTAAATAGGTTTAAAATTGTATAAAATAACATAGTCCTACACATTAAACTCTGAGTTTTCACCTGAAACGTCCTGATTTTTGGAAAAAATCAAAATTAAAAAACAACATTTTGCAATTTAAATTTGAATCTGCCAAACGGAATTCTTTAACTTCTTGGAGATGTTTTAAAGTTATCATAAGCATGGTAAATTTTGAACAAAATGTATTTGCTGATCATCCCTAAAAAATTATGACATCACCTCAAAATATTGCTGAATAGATCTTATCTTAAATATGTAAAATATGATGATTCTATACTTGTGATTTATTTGTAACATATAATTAACATTTTTTAAAATTGCTTATACAGAGTGTCTTAGAAAAATTAATGACTGAGTTGTTAAAAAATAAATATCCAATCGGATTTAGGAATTTAACTCCTTTTACATGAAACAAGTTTTACAAGTGTAATAGAGGCAAAATCAATCTTATCTTAACAAGTGCTATCCCCGCCCACCCGCCTCCTACTTTCGCAGAGTTTATCTCATTTGCCAAAATAAGTTTTATCTTAGCAAGTACTAGCCCCGCCCACCCGCCCTCTATTTCCTTAGAGGCTATGGCGTTTACCGAAGTCAGTCTTATCTGAGCAAGTACTAGCCCCGCCCACCCGCCCCTATTTTCTCAGAAGATATGTGATTTGCTAAAATAAGACTTATCTTAGCAAGTACTAGCAAGTACTACCCTCTGAGAAAATAACGGGGGATGGGCGGGGCTAGTATTTGCTAACATAAGTCTTATTTTGGCAAATTACACATTCTCTGAAAAAATAGGGGGTGGGTGGGGCTAGTACTTGCTAACTTAAGTCTTATTTTGGCAAATGGCATACCCTCGAAAAAAATAAAGGGCGTGTGGGCGGGGCTACTACTTATTAAGATGGACTGATTTTGGCAAATGATATACCCTCTAAGAAAGTAAAGGGTGGGTGGATAGGGCTAGTACTTGCTAAGATAAGACTTATTTCGGCAAATAACATATCCTCTGGGAAAATAAGGGGCGGGTGGGCGGTCCCAGTATTTGTTAAGATAAAACTGATTTTGCCCCTATTAATCATGTAAAAATTGTGAAATTTAAAGGTGTTAAATTGCAAATTTCCATAGTAACGAGTTAAATTCCTAAGTCTTCACGAAATGTGTAAAATATGATGAGTTTTTACTTATGATTTATCACTGCATTCATATTTTTTAAAATTTGCTTATACAGATGGCTCAAAAAAATTAATGAATGTCTCAATTTATTTTATTGTTTGGGAATAGAATACTGTTATTTTGGGTATTAAAATTCAAAAACATATGTATACAGGTATCACAACTAAAACTCCGCGATCTAATATCTTGAGAATGGATAAAAATTCGAAATTCTGTTAACGCCATTATTTTTATCGCAATTTAACGCAAATTAACCATCTACCAGAATTCGTCTCCGCTAAAATTCCGCGACCTAAAATCTTGAGGATCGATAAAGATATTGAAAATCTGTAAACGCCATTGTTTTTATCGCATTTATTATTAAAAATATATACGTTGCCATTTAAAAAAATATCGGTTTGCGTCACGATGCCAACGCCATATATGTCTCATATTTGCAATGCACTGAATTGACTTTCGCCTTCAAGCTAAAACCAATGGCGTTTACAGAATTTATATATCTTTATCCATTCTCAAGGCATTACCTCTATATACACGGTGAGTCAATAAACGGGAATTCCGGATGATCTTTAAAGAGTATAAAATAAAATTATGTCCACTTCTACTGAGTATTTTTTTTGAGGCGCCACATACGACTTATTTTTTTCTAAATAGAACCAGCTATATATTTTTAAGTACTAATTACCCGTTTCTTCGATTTTACAGCCATATTTAATTTTGGAATTCCAGTGCGACGTTGCCAAGTTATGATATTTTTTCAGTTTGTTCAACAATGCAAAAGTTAACAAAAAAATGTAATAGTAATAACAATAATAACGATATGATTGTAATAAAATAAAATTGAGTGTTAATATAAAAGGAAACGGGGTTTATAAAAAATTATAACATTTTTTTATATATCTGTAAACACCTCCTATACCAAGATTATTTTTTGGTATTGTAACAAAAGGCCTATTTTTGTTTATCCATCCATCAAAGTTTATAACATAAATGACAAAAATAAAAGTATTATTAAAAAAATTCAAAAGACTTGGCAACGTCGCATCAGAAGTTCAAAAATAGAGTAAACACTGTACGAAGAGGCTAATCAACCTGTAAAATGTACAGGGTATTCCAAAAAAAAACAATCTTTGCGTCCCAAAACAGAATACTCTGTACATATAGCTGGAAATAATTTTAGAGCCATACAATTTCGGTAGTTACATTTTTCCTATCTCTAATATATAATTAATGATATATTGAGGAACATCCGCTTGTTGACTCACCCTATATATAGCTAGACACGCAATCGACTTTCGAAAACTACAATTCTAAAATACAATTTTTTACAATAATTGTGTTCAAATTATTGCTAAAACCAATCCCAGTATAAGAAACTCTAACCAGCTAAACCATACAGTCGATCTACTGCTTTTCTTTTATATTACTATAAAAAGTTATTGTATAAAAATAGGGCAGATTCATAAACCAAAAGTACAGGAATATGTCAATATAAACATTTTAAATAGTATTTACCATGCAAACTTTTAACGTGACGTCATCAAATTGTTGCTGAGACTCATCAAACAAATTTGAGTTAGTGTTTTACATCTATACGATATTCTTGGCATACATATCAAATTTGACAAAAACTGGACCAGTAGTTTTGGAGATTATCTGTACAATTAAAATCGACAGGCAGACGACAGATAAACGACAGAGAGACGGAAATGAAAAATGACATTTATATGGAATGTGCAATTTTGTTATCTA